TATATTGTTTGTTCGTATTTGATTAGTAACATATAATATTATTGTCGCGGCTCAATTAAACTACGCGCTTCGTGATTGGCCAGTGTTTTTTGTTAAAATATAAATAATAATTTATAAATAATTCCGCAATGAAAGTTTTTGCAAAGAAAAATGTTGTTTAAAATTATCTTAAAAATCTCTATTTTACGAATGTTCTAACATTTTTGGAACATCTTAATGCTTAATTTGAAACATTTTAATATATTATTTTATATTATTTAATATATATTATATATAATTTTTATAAAATTTTACTACTTCTAGTGTTTAGTTTTCAAAAATACTTTCAAAAATAAAAAATTTATGTTGAAATATTTATCGATGTTAATCATGAGTTTAGGCTCTTTCATAAAGTACAATATAAATTGGTATCAACTTGCAATAGTAAGTTTTCAATAATATATTTAAATTATAATATAAAACAAAATACAAAAAATTACAAAAAATTATTATAAATATAGGTTAAAGAGTTTATGGATAAAATAAAATACGATTGGGAAATAATCGAAATGAACAATGAAACACTTGAAATTATGAAAAGACGTACTTGCTTAGGAAAACATTATGTATTACGATTTGCATGTAAGAAATATATTTCAAATTATAAAATGAATTTATATATTCTAAATTGCATAATTATATATGCATATTACAGCAATTTTGTATTCATCATTAGCTATCATGGTATTCTGTCATATGTCAACCTGTATTCTAGATAAAATTCTGCCATTGAATGAAACACGTTTGAAAAAATTTCCCATACTGACGGAATATTCAATTTTTGATGAAAAATATTTTTCATTTACAGTCATATATTTATATATATCATTGCTGTTAATAATAACTATATTTGTGGCAACGGAATCATTAATGATTTTGTGGCTACAACATGCTGCTAGCTTATGTGAGATTACAAGGTATAATATACAATAATTTATTTTATGCACTCTTATTGATTTGAAGTCAATCAATGATCTTATTATCAATAAATTAATATTTTCTTGAATAAATATAGTATGCAGTGGTCTGCAATATTTTTTCTTTAAATTTATATTGTGAAAGTTTTTTTGGATCGCTAAAAAAGAAAATAATAATTCATTTTTCACAGAAATGAATCTAATTTAATTCATATTTCTCTTTAAAGAAAGTTAATAATTTTTTTTTTATTCATTAATTTCTTTTGCCAAATTTTTTTAATCCAAATTTGTATCATCCAAATTTTTACAAAAAATTACTATTATTTTCATTTTTAATAACTCAATTTCACACATATTTCACAAATTTTATAATTGGAATATTATCCTTTAGATTTAGTTATATACAATAGAAAATTGATAAAAGAATATTTGTTTATTTTAAATGTTAAATTTAATTTTAAATTTTATTTTAAAATTTATCAATTTTATATATATATTAAAATTTATAATAATATTTATATCATTAAAATAAATAAATATCATTATAA